AATTGGCATATATTCTGTTAGAACTCGATATTTGCTGGCTTCATGAGAATGCTGGCCGTTTCTGCCACGTAGGATTTAGAAAATTGGCCCACCATACGGAAGATGTGCTTAAAATATATCATTCCACAAAAAAGGCGTAGGAATTTTTCGAGTTACACGGAAAGAGAAACGGATTAAGGGACATGAGGAGGGCAAAAAGGAACTGATCTCTTTCCACGTCACTGTCCCACTCACGCGGTTGGGGGGAAAAAGGAGGCCCAAGGTAGGTGGATGACAAGCGAGTCAAACTTGGGGCTCAGGGTTGATGTTTTTCGACTGGTTCACGGAGACCCAGGCACTTCAAGAATATCATCTTTATGGTATCAATCATTTCTCGGTCAGTTTTTGCGCTTCCTCCCGTTCTTCCTTTCCATCGAAAGCGTGACTGGTAATTCGAAATTCATTCAATCATCTGCGTCCCGTGGTATCATATAGAAGTGTCTGACGCTTGCCAGATGTCTTTCACACGAAGCCTATTGATAGCTTTATAATCGACTGTTGATGTAAGTTGTCGCTTCACAGAACAAACAGCAGTCTATTCGCAGTTTCGCCGTCTTGAATGCCACATTCAAGTTTCAATCCAGGGTTCTCATCCCCTTTCATTCTGTTTGGCCGATTTTCTTTCGGAGAGCTAGAGGTTCGACACGACTGATGGTTCAATACCTAAGTCGTGAAAGAAAAAAGAAAAGGGATCCCTGTCAGATCTGATTTCTCTTTTTCGTCCCTTCCCTTTCCTTCTCGTACGAAAATAACCATGCGACTTTTTCAAGGAATGGAATCCTCCAACGTTCCTCTTGACTTTGAATGTCTCTTTCATCCTTTGTCTTAGGGGATTGGAGACTCCGAATCTCCGTAGTCAATGCCCGCAAATGTATGAAAGAATCCGTGGATTCAAAAACTGGAATGTCCTTAGCCTACTGCCTCATGTACTCGTACTGGCTGCGTGCCAAGGTCAACCAACCTCTCATACCAATTGCACTAAGGGGACTCTGCCAGGAGATTTATTGAAGACCATAACCTTCAAAACCCTCGAAATTCTGAAGCAAAAAGTTGCTCTTAAGCTTCAGCAGAAGACCTTTCAACTTTGTTTCATGCTGTCATGGTTCATATCCAAGCTGTTTCTCCCTTTTCAGGAAAAATAGGGAGGAATCAGTAGCCGTGGTCTTGTTCTTTGCAAAGGCACTGCTCAAAAACCAGGAGTGCTTGGCTAAATTTATTTCGTCATATCGTTGCAGTATTCACATCAGATTCTATTACTGTCTTCGCTAAGGGGTATAAATAATGCTATTTTTTCGGTTTCACGTAAGGTTATTGGCCATTTATTACTCCACTTCGTTTTTCATTAGCCAAAGACAGACAGACACGCAGAACCATAAATCCTAATAAAGCATCAGCTAGAGCTGTGGTGGGCAACATGATTTTTTTTTCTTGCCACAGGTGTGGCAACTCGACCATTAAAATTGCCACACTTTGAATAAAACTCAGAATTTGCGTGAAATAAATGTATTTCACGATTCCAATGACACTGAGGGGTTAATTACAAAGAATTATGCCTCAATTTTGTGGCGATTGGCGATCATGTTGCCCACCCCGGAGCTAGAGGAACCTATAAGGACGCTAGAAATCCTTCTGAAGTGAAACAGAATTCCTAAGTTGAGCATAACTGATATTAAACCTTAGGTCTAAAATCCTTCGATACAAAACTGAATAAGGTTCGCGTGGAGTACCCCCCACCCTACCCCCCATTAAAAAATATCATGGAAGCAAGACTTAGAGGCGTAAGGATCGCCGGCAATGACGAAGGGAATCCAAAAGCAGACTGGATCATTTACTTCCTGATCAGAGACTCTCCCTCTGTCCTTGCTTTTCCAGAGTGCAGCAGTCGTGACTTCACTTTCAACGAACCAGGTTCCTGACTTCCATGCGAAATCTACGAACTTCCCACTAATTCCATCTTGGTTGTGACCATACAGAGGGTTGTTTGGTTAATATGGTAATGAATTTATCAGGATCCTCAGACGATCACTTTTATTTGCCTCCACCATCTATCATGCTCGATTCGGTACCCCTGAATGTTGGCAATAGTCCATCATCTCAGTTTCCATTCTAAGAGGCTACTCAGTACATCAAGGGGTCTTTCCGCTTCTTCCCTGCAATTTTTCCAGAGTTCATTTATCTCCACTGGTCACCTACTTCCCAAGCGTCTCTTGAGTAGGTCAAACCCACAAAAATCTATAGGTATTTTGGGAGAATAGACGGGGATGTCTGAAGATGGAATGGCACGAATTTAGATCGTCTCCTCCATCTTCTTCAGGAAAATTCCATTTGAATCTGAAATGTGGCTGGATGCTATGTCTTGATGCTCCCCACAAAAATGGTGGCGTTTTCATAAACTCTGGGAATATCCTACTCGTAATGAAGCTTCGAAACCTTATCTTGATGAAATCCAGAGTTCACTTTCGCTTTTCGTGGCACTTTCTTGCAGTGTCATTTTGCAGTTTTAACAGTAACCAGCTACAACCATGCCTATCCATGCGAATGCATCGAAACTTTAAAATAAAAAATTATCTGCATTCGCGGTAGCACTTTTGAAAGTGTATTTCACCACGAGGAACGCAATGAATGATCCGAACCTCATATGCAGCCACACATAAATCCAAGCTTCATCCAACGTCACCGCATCTTTCCACTTTCGGGCATTGGTTTTGCACTCTTGGGGATGGTGGGGTCTGAACCCTTAAATCTCTTCCTTGTTTCCAGATATCTATTGATAATGCGGTTGATGGTTTCACAGACACTCCCGCATTCTTAGCCATGAATCTTCGGGTTGGTGAATTCTTTCGGGTTGCCATCTGTCGGACTTTTTTGGCGCCGGTCTTGGTGTACTTCAGAAGAGACGGAGAGATTTTAGGGTTTTGGCTCCCTTCCCAGGTCACAGTTCGAGCTTTCCCAACATGGTTTCAAAACATTGTGAACCCCTTTCAATGAGACTCTAAAGCCTTTCTTCTTACACTACTCCGTTATGGCTGACTATTTAACGTCGGAAAGAGCTGTTATATATAATCTCTCACAAAAGATCGATTTTTGGAGGCATTCCGACTCGCCATGATGAAACGACTGTCTCCTTAGGAGCAAAATATAAACATCCAGGCTGTAAACCTTGAGGCAAAGAAAACTTGCGATAAGGACGGGTGCAGTGCTGCGTTAAATTTTTTACCATATCAACCAAACAATCCTCCTTACTCGGCTAAGAATTTACATGGAAATGAAGGGAAGGGAAGTAATTAGCTTCTTGAGGAAATGAATACGGCATGACACATCTCTCAGTTTATTCTAGAATGTTCCATGTCCAACCACAGCTCTGCCAGCATTGCAGAATGACTCTGCCATGGCGTGGTGGCATTTTAAACTCGGTGGAGCGGAGGACCTCAATTTCTCAAGCTGTGTAGCATCCTACATGAGATAAGCGCTCTCTGAAGGAAAATGAGAGGGGAAATGGGACTTATCATCGGCCCGATCTTGGGGCCGGAACCTCAACCGCCCCCAAGGGTGGAGACCTTTTATTGTGCAAAATTGAAGAGGAAATTGAAGAGAAGTCGTCTTCTTTCGAGAGAGGATGTCGCTGATAGCAGGTTCGCCGATTTAAGCAGTAAGCTATCAATAGGATGTAACTTATGCGTTCCATTTTCGCGTCCCACGTAGCAAGACAAAATATGTATTCATAAATCTTCTACATCCCCCGTCCCTACTGTCTGCAGGCTTTCCGCCCCTTGTTTTATGGATTAATCACGAGGTCTGAAACTACCCTGCCGTTTCCGCCCTCATTTATTATTATTATATCTCTATGAAAACCGCTTATATATTCCGCGGAATGGCATACATCATAACGAGTGCTTTATTTGCATACCCATAAAAAGATTTTAGAGGCAATGAGCAATTCAATGCTCGAGGTTGCATACGTTGGAGGCTACATCACGATAAACCCAAAGTCACAAAGCTCATAATCTTCATTGAATGTGATTTGCAGTCTCTGGTAACATTTCATTCGGGGAAAAAAAAATTCGAATGGGAATCGTTTCCAGGGCATGGTTCAGTTTATCATTGAATGTCTTCACATGCGATTCTTGTCGAAGTCTCATTGTCTGGTTTAGGGAAGGAATCCTACTCGATTCTCACTTAGTTTTGTACCCAGCGACCATGCACTTCTAGTTTAAAATCTATTCTGACGTATATCAGCAACGGCACTACCGTGTATGTTCAGGGCCGTTTCTAGGCGTGTTGGCGCCCAGGGCAAGAAGTTCCAATGGCGCCCCCCCCCCCCCTTCCCCCCTCCTCCTCCCTCTTTACCCTGCTGGCGCGCCGGGCGATCGCCCGCTTCGCCCGCCCCTAGAAACGGCCCTGTGTATGTTACAGGGGTGGTAATTCTTATTGAAATAACTGGATCTGGCTTTGCTGCATCCGAACAGTTGAGGGAACCCACATCAAGACTAGAGTTGCGATGAGTCCTCGGGCCCCCTCTTGCAGCAAATTGAACGATTGTTTCTGAGAAGTCTACTTCAGAAATTAAATATTGAAGCCACTCACGCAGATTTAGTGCTTTTAACTTTTCATTCTTTGGAACCCTACGACCCCTAAGCCCTGTGCATGCTTGAGCATGCAGTTCTCGGAACTTTGGCTTCGCCTTCGAAGACGCATCAAGTTTCTTCTTTTCATTTCTGCTTCCACAGAACTCTGCTGTCCTCTTTTGCTCGAGTGCAATCAATCACGGGTGGTACGTAGCAGATCGATATCGCTTCAACGGATCTGATGTTATCAATCATAATGATGTGAGAGCAAATCTCATTCCCATCGACGCCCATCGAGGAATCGAATGAGATTAATGCTAAACGGATCGGATATGGACGCCGAGAATCTCGAGCATGCGATGCGATCGCGAGATGAAGAAGAGAAAGATGTCTCACCCCAAAGTGGTCATGGTGACGATGGTGTACCAGAAGGCGGCAGGGATGGAAGTAAAATTGGTTTCGTCCACGTTTTTCTCGGCGTAGAACATGACGGTGGCGAAGATGATGATGGCCATGGCGAGAGAGAAGACGAGGAAGCCGAGCTCGGAGGCGCAGGATTTCAGCGTGTAGCCGAGAATCCGGAGTCCTTGCGAATGTCGGGAGAACTTGAAGATGCGGAACACGCGGAACACTCGCAGAGTCACAAATGCACCGGACACGTCGTCGTTGTCGGTGATCCCCAGCCCGATGTAGTAGGGCAAGATGGCGACGACGTCGATGATGGACATCACACTTCGGACGAATTTGCATCGGTCGGGAGCGGCGAAGAGACGAAGGAGGTACTCGGCCGTGAAGATCATGACGCAGGCCGTGTCGAGGCAGAAGAAGACGATCTTGTATTTCTCACCGCAAGGAAGGGCCTTCGTGGAATTGGGCCGACTGCCACAGGCCACAGTTTCCACCACGTTCGCCATCACGGACACGGCGATGAAGAAACCAGTCACGTAGTAAAACACTAGGGCGGCTGTGGAAGTGTGAGGATTCTCGAAGGCTCGCCACATTTTCTGTCTCGAATTCGTCAACGGAGGCAAGTGGTGATCCCCGTTTTCCGACAATTTGTCGTCGAGGAGTCGCTCTGCGTTCTCCCGCTTCCGATCCCGGTAGTCCTCGTAACAACAATCCCCTATCACATCCGGGATGATCCCGAAAAACGCCAATTCTTCGTCGTAGCTCGTCAAGCATTCGTGCTTGGGATAATGGAGTTTTCCGGTCCGGTAATAATTGAGGATATGTCGGAAAATGTCAGGGTCCCGATCGAAAAAGTACTCTTTGGTATCCTCGTCGAAGAAGAACTCCCTCTCGTTGGAACCGAGCAGGGTGTCCGGGTACCTTTCCAAGGTGTTTCTCCAGGTCTCGAAACGACGACCGGAGACGTTGATGAGGAGTTTCTCGTCGTCGGTCTTGCGTTTGTGTTTCGGGACGGGCGGAGCGGGCAGGGGATTGCTGGCGATCGGGACCCAACCGATTGCGGCCGCCCTCGCAAAGGGAAGCCATGCTGCCACCGAGGCCATGGCATGCGGCGCTATTTTTCAAATCCTTATTTCCTGGCTGAAGATTCCTTCGTTGAGATAAAAATCGACAGGGAAGATGGGTCACTCTCTCGCGGAGCCGTCACACACACGTGAAGAAAGCGAAGACCTTCGTGCAGACCGAGTCGGGAGAGCCTGCTCTGGCCGCGGAGGCATCCATTGATTCGATGGATGGGAAGGAGGGAAGCACTGTGGAAACTGCGCATTCGTTCCCGCGCAGCCACAGCTCCCGTCGCCACGGCAACGGCTCTGACGTCATCCTACCTCTCTCTCTCTCTCTCTCTCTCTCTCTCTCTCCCCCCCCCCTCCCTCACTCGCAGACACGGAAGAAAATACAATTTCCCCTCTCTCGCACTCTCCCCGACTCCATCTCGCTAGCTTCTTACTTTGGTTCTTTCTCCCTCTCATCCCGCACCAATCCGCTTTCATCATACGCCCTGTGGACACAAACCTCTCACTTGGGACCATCGGAGCCGCGGACATCCCCGTTCATCCCCCCCCCCCCCCCCCCCCCCCTCCCCCCCCTCCCTCCCCCTCTCCATCGATGGGTCGCATCTTCTGTCGTTCTCTGCTCAGAGAAACTTTCCTTTTTTCGTGTCCCCATTCTTTCCACCTTGCCCTCGATCGATAGGATCTCCGCGGTGAAACGAGGCGACGGGACCTTTCGCTTCCGCTTCGGCGATCGCGGACGCGTCGAGTCGCGGCGGGAAAGGCCTTGCAGCTCTCGAGGGGAATTGCCCCCGAGAAGACTGCAATGCCGCCGAATTCCAAGGCCGTGCCGAGTGCGCGATTTCGAGGCTTACTATAATCGGGGCGGCTTACGGTGATCCGCGTCGCGTAGTCCACTGGAAAGCGAATTCCCCTCTCGGCATTTCTCTCTCGCAATTATGAACTCCTGCATGTTTCCTTCGAGGATCACTCGGTCTACTCGCTCTCGTCTCGTCGAGGGATTGCGTGATTCGGGACGATCAACACTGCTTCCCTTTCTTCCGGGAAACTGTTGAGCTTGTTTCCGTCCGAGAGAAATCCTTTCACGATTGCCTTTTCATCGTTGGCGCAAAACGAAATGAAGACATTTCTCTCGCCGAACAGTTCGGCTTTTCCGAAGGCGGAGATGACACTGTCACCGTTTCTCGATCTGTTCTTGTATTTTATCGTTCATCCGAAAAATTTAGTAGAGATGGCGCCAGTGCATAAGTGGCTGACGTATGACGACAAACTGACGATTAAATGACGACAAACTGACGACTAACGCCTTCTCTTCGAAATATGTTTCTGACCCGAGAGGGAAAATGGCTGACAGCTGGGGTTTCGAGAGTCTCACCGGTCTCGCAGCAGAATCTCACGATCTCTCGACGCAGTTTCTTGCAATACAGACAGAAACTTGCGTTCGAATTCGCAACATCGCATACGCAGTATTCGCAAAGTTTGGCATAACGATGTTAAAATATTAGCGGAGTCGTGCTCTGGCTCTTGGAACTCCGCCACGACGCATTAAAAAGCTCGATCGAAGAAGGATTCACCATCGTTAAGCATTCATCTTTATGAAACGGTTCTTATTTTTTTATTATCGGTGCTTAAGAGGGCGAATCCCGGGGATTCTCTGGCTCGAGTCCAGGTCTCGAGAGGATTCCTCCCCTCTCCAGTACCTAATTTTCATATTCCTCTCGGCGAAACACGCGACAAACCTCATTAAGTGGAGTTTTTGCTCTCACGGCCTCACGAACCCCCCGAAGCCTTGCTGCCGGAATGGAAGAAAGGCCAAAATGGAAGAAAGGACAAAATTGAGGAAAGGCTGGGAATCCGTTTATTTCCAAGGTCGATTAGAGGAGAATCGCGTCATCCCGCGAAACGACGAAAATTTAATGAGATCTTCATGCGGAAGAAAGGTGGAGACTCGGACCGGACCCGGGGCAAAGGAAAGGTCCGTTCGATTCCGTTTGCCTCCATCGCGAAAACAAGAACGCAGCGAAATTACGGGAAAGACCCGAGATCGAACGATCACATAGCCGGCGGCTGATACGATGGAGCAAACAGAGGCCTTTTAGAGCCGCTAATGAGCCTCGGGTTCGTTAGGTCTCACTTTGCATTAAAGATCGAAGGAATCGTAAATACGGGGAGATCGGCTCGAGACGGAACCCCGAGGAGGAAATGGAAATGGGTAAGTCATTCGGCTTCAACTCGACGTGGAATCGGCGTCGAGGCGTTGTCGGCCGTCACGTCGTGTGTGGCTTGCCGTTTTCTGCAATTTGGCCGCCGCGATGTCCTCGTATCTTTCTGCCCTTTCGATCGAGATCTGCCATCGGAAAAATCCACGTCGATCGAAAAAACACGGAGAATGCCACGCGGCAAGTTTCAAATGCCGGACTGGAACGCGTTTCAGTCCGTCGCGTTCGCATCTTGCGAAGGAATTTCGCTGGAATTCGCCGCAATCGTGTCTTTGGGTTCCGCCTCGAACTAGAACTTTTCTCGGAACGGAACCGAACGGTTCCGTTCCGAGAAAACGGGGAGCATTTCAGTCGGAAAAGTTCGCGAGGGGGAAGCAGTCCGAATTCGTTCCTTCAGATTCTCGGTCGGCAGATGATCTGGAAACGAATCCTAATTGGATCCAAACGGCGAAAAGACCGTCTCCGATGGAATCGACGAGGCCAACCGAACTCGCATGCTTTTACGGGTTCAGCTCGGCGAATTTGGAGATTTCGGTCGTGGCAAAATCGATGCGACCAGCGAGTCCGCCTGCGTGACGTCACGTGCAACGCGATAACGTAACGCGTTCGAGCGGCTCTCGGTTCGTGGAAATCCATTTGGGACGAGATCCCCCAGAATCAGCTGATGATGGGCCGGGCCATCACCAGGCCATCTCCAGACCATCACCAGACCATCTCCAGGCCATCACCAGGCCCATCCAATCGACCTCTGCCAGGCGAACGCTCGATCAAAGATTTTTTAAATGCAAAGGAGTGCAACGTGACTCGAATGCCCGATCGGATCTGAGCCGAGAGACGATTCCGTCGCTTAGCATTTTCTCCTCGCCGTGCTTCTTTATCTATTCCTGAGAGATTTTTCCATTTTAACCCCTAAACTACGGGGGACGGTCCAAAAGCATCCGAACGGATTTTTATTTTCTCCGAAACTACGACAGAGATGATCGCCGAATTTCGCACGCACACCCCAGTCGATATCGTCATCACTCTTGCAGAAAGTCACTTTCAGCACACTTCTGGTCATCAGGGCACAATTTTATGCAAGTTCTTTTTTAAAAAATTCAGCTGCAGCGCGTCGAACCCACTGCATAACAGCTTTATGCCCTTTATGCCCTTTATGCCCATATAGATCATGTTTCAACGCTCCAAACAAATGACGATCCGATGACACAGATGACGATCCGATGGCACAGATCCGGATACTGAACGTGGCAACTCGATTCAATTTCGGGAAATAAAATCTGTCCGGACGCTTTTGGTCCCTCGGAAATACAGAGGATTTCGAGACTCGTGAGGACAGTCTGAAAGTAAAAACCGCACTTAACGATCTGCATACGAATAAGAGAAGAGAGAAAAGACACCGAAATAACAGCCCATTCCCTGTGAAAATTCCCAGAAAATTCCTTTTCTGCCCCGACGCCTTCTCGGAAGAATTATTCTTCCGAGTAAGTTCTCGGTTCGGGTGCATGCATCGGATGCATGAAATCCGACAACCCTGCGGATTCTCTCCTCGCCGGTGGTTAACGAAGGAGCGAATTAAGCGCATCATGATTCCCCTCGATAAAGGCGTCTGGAGGATTCCACATCCGAGGATTTTCATCCCGAATAGGGTGAGGTATTTATAGATGCATGGGTACATGACCCTACACATGGGGGTACATGACCCCATACATGGGGTACATGACCCCACAGTCTGGAGTCGATATCGGTTCCAAGTCCAATCCTCAGTGCTTTTGGCTTCCACGCAGCACGCAGTAATAACTCTCGTACAATTCTTCACTTTTCGATGCAGCGATACAGAGATACGACGATACAGCGATACAATTGCATACAGCAATGCCATATCGGGGATTGGGCGACAATTGCGACACCGTTTTTTTTTTGTCCCCAACAAGCCGAGAAAAGAAAAACGTCTGACAACCTGATTTTTTGAGAGAGGGGAAACGGTGTCGCATTTAACTCAGACATGCCTCAGACTCAGACATGCCTGGATGTCGACTTTTGCAAAATAATTAATATCCGCTCTATGAATTGCACTAGAACTATGTAAACAAAATGCACTTTAAAGAGGATACATTGCTGCAAATATTTAGAAAATTGCACAGTTTTTACGACCAAAATCTGCGACGAATTTGCGATTTTCAGTCAATTTTCCCTTATTTCCTCGTATAAAATTCCTGCCAACCGGGATCCACATGGATACGAGGACTGAAGGAAATTAATACGATAAAAAGACAAGAAACACTTTTTCCACTTTTAATTTAAGAAAAAAAAAAAAGAAATGCAACCGACTATTCGGAGGCGCAAAGCCTCCTCCAGGAAAAAAAAGAAAAAAAAACTAATCAAGAAAAAAAAAGAAAAGGAAAAGAAAAAATGAAGTCAAGGGTTTAAAAAATATGAGAAATAAAACTGGCGAAAAAATAATCGTAAAAGAATAAAATGAGGATAAACAGTGATGAAACACACGACCCGAGGACTCACAAAAGCAGCCAATGAAAGAATGAATAAGAAAAAAAATGTATGGAAGGGAATTGAGGACCGGTTTCGGGATTCCGATCCGAAAGGTTTCACGTTTCCTCCTTCCGGTCTGCGATTTCGAACTTGCGAGTTCGACGGGATCATTAAATCAGCACGCCTGGGGTCTTCCAATCGATTCCCTCGAGTTCACTGTAATTTAATCGTGCATTATGTATGTGTTCTCGGGGGGGATAATCATCTACCCGTTTTCTACGAATATTGCGGCTTGCAAACTTTGCACGTAATGAGCTTTGTCACGTTAGGGGTGGAGCGAATCGTTTCAGACCGGATTTTCGAGGTTCTGCCGCTGCCGAGAAGAAAAAAAGTCTCTCTCGTCTTCGTCTCGTCTTTCTCGGAAAAAAATCCGGGATATCATGTTTCGATGGGAGTCGATCTGATGCCGGAATTTTATTAAAGGTGACCGGTGGAAAGTGCATTCGCG